GACACATAGTCAGATTTTTATTTCCGACCCAGTACCATGGAGGTGAATACAATTTCTTCTGTCATGTTCACAGCATTAAAGAAAAGACAAATGCTGTGTCTCAAATCGAAGTACTTCTGTACTTACACTTGCTATTTTGAGTGCATTCAAACTGAGAAATAGCCTATGGCGAAATACACTGCCCAGTCCCTGAATGGTGCACTCATAACAGTCAAAAAACTGATTGTGGAACATTGGACACTTCTCATTCTCAATGGTCACCATGTCCCCACATAGCAGAGGGGGTGGGAACACACACATCTCAAACTTGTGAAAATGGGAACCCAAGGGGAAACTACCACAATGAACACTGAAGCATTGCACATTGTATTTTAGTACAAATTTACCACCCTATACTCTTGTCAGATGATAGCCATCAGTTTGTTTATTGGGTGAATTCTGTAATAATGATAGCCTGAATGTTAACGTTAGCTTGCAAGTCATCTAGCAGTGGCCCATTTTATCACTAAGCATTGACCTTATACGAGTTGTGCAGCTATATTATTGTTGGGCATAGTTACATGTTGTTGGTGCATGTTAAATTTTCATTCTCACTGTAGAAGATTTTAGTATTAGATGTGTCGTCAGTTGCTTGAGAAGCTGTAAATATTCGCAAAATGCAGCTGCTATCATTAACTCAGTAGATCAGCAGATGAAAGACCTAGCGGGAATCAGCCACAGACATTCATAAATATAAATAAATATAATACAATAGATAAATATAAAGAAATCGAATTAGCAAACAAGCATATATAGCAGGCATATATTTTGGCAAATGACAACTGTTCAAATCTGAGAACTAAACAAGTAAGTACAGAGTGTATGCAGTGTACTTGGCAATCCAAGACACAGCACAACAGCCATGCTAGCAGCTCTAAGCTCCAGTAAATGCTAAGCATCAGTATGCTAACATGCCCACAATGACGATGCTAACATGCTGATGCTAAGAAGATATAATGTTAACCATGTTGACCATATTGGTCAATGTTAGCATGTTAGCATGCTAACATTGACCAATAAGCGATAAACACAAAGTACAGCAGAGGCTGATTGCCTTTAATTTTGCAGGTATTTGATCATAAAAAAAGCACTGTAAAAATATTTATTTTTAACCTGATAATGAACAAATGGAGGGATCTCCAAAGATACTGCACTTGAGGTTGGACATTTCATGACAGTTAATACATTATTTGTCGAGATATTTCACTCAAAACCACAAATATGAACCTCATGGTGGTGCTAAAGAAAAAGTCTGGCAATCACCAAAGTAATTAAGGTTCATCCTCTGAGGGTCATGAAAGTCTGTACAAAATTTCATGGCAATCCATCCAAGAGATATTTCAGTCTGGATTAAAGTGATGGACGGACTGACCAACTGACAGCTAGCATGGCTAAGTAAGACATTGTGGATTTTTTTCTTGGACAAATCAACCCTTAAATTCTGTTTACTTGCTATGCAAGAGAATCAAATTTCCAGTGAAATCTGACAAATAAATAATGTGTTGAGAAACACTGCAGCAGATTTAGGGCTACAGATCTTAAATGTGCTCCATCTGAAGGCTGGAAGCTTGTGATAGCTCTCTATGTTCGACATAATGAATCTAATTTACCAGAGAGAATCATCTCTGAAACTGAGCCAACTTGTTCTAGCTATTCAAAATCCGGACGGCAAATGTCTAAATAATTTCAGCTAAAATTTCACCAAATTTCTCTCCTCAAAAGATAAGAAAGTCTGCTGAGTGACATTTCAACAGGCTGTTCCTAACTTACAGCGAGATTGAACTTGCCTGAAGACAATGACAAGCTCCTCTCTGTCTGATGTCACCTCTCATTTCCAGGCCGACTGCTATCTGCTACTGGCTTCTGCCAATAATAGCTCATCAAAACAACACAACCCTTCTTGGCACCAAAATAAAGGCAGCGGTCCACGTCTGTGCCACTCAGTTGTCAATTAAGACTCCTCTTCACACTGACACTTGTGACTTAAAAGAAACAGTCGAGAATGTGATGAATTTGAGACGACAGATGAGAAGGCAGTACACTGCGTCGCAGTACCATAATGCGCTTGAGATATGGATAACAACTGACACCACTGGCAGGTCTTATGAAGTTTGATTTCATTTGTCAGGCCCCTTCTACTTTGTCTTTTAGCTCGCGCGCTCCTTCACTCTTCAATCATCGTGGTAATAGCTCATTCTGATAGCCTGAAGACACTCACACTTGCTTCCATTTAAAATGCAAAGCCACAAATATAGTCGGTGCTGCTGTGGGCTACACATCAAGATGGCATCATGTGTTGTATCTAATGCTGTACTGTAAATATACATGTCTAATTGCATGTGTGGAGCATGTGTACAAAGAAGCTAAATTAACCCGGTTTGAGATGTCCTGGATCTCTCAAATGTACACAATTTCACAACATGTAAAGGCATACAGATGAACACGTATCATATAAACCACAAACGACAGAGAAATAACCATCAACCTCGGTATTTGATCACTAAGTAGACAAATGGAGCAGTAAGTGTCCAAGCCTGTCTCGGTGAATACCTTGCATGCTTGTCTCCAGCCGACCACATGACGCTAATTCCTGACTGAAGCGCTCCTCCTGCGTACCCCTAATCCTGCCTGTGAAATGTGACAAGATCATTCTTTAGGCCTACTTTAGTCTGAATAATCTGCCCATCACAGACATTCATCCCGACCTGCACAGTGCTTCCAGTGTCATAACACGCTACCTGTACATTTTCACCCCAGCTTAGGCTCCATAAATTAAATCTAGACAAGTAAATGTGAGGGATCAGCATCGAGTGCGGCATGGATGTCGATGTCGAGAATGTTGATTTTACACTGACTGTGTGTGGTGTCTGTTTCAGCTAATTTGAGATTAAACAAAGGGTTGCAACGGTTAGTCATCTAATAAAAGAAACTAATCAACAACAGTTTTGATTGATGATAATTTATCAAGCAAAACACTTAAAACATTCTGTTTCCAGCTTCTCAAATGTGAAGATTTGCTGTTTTTTTTTCTTTATTTCCTTGTTACCTGAATATTTCTGGGTATGGAACTGTTGGTCGGACAAAACAAGCAATTTTAAGAGATCAAATTGGGCTCTAAGAAATCATGATGGGCATTTTTCGCCATTTTTTGACAAAAAATTTATCAATTAATCAAAAGAAGATCCAACAGATTCATTGATAATGAAAATAACACTTAAGGTAATCAAACTTAACGAAATCGATTCACACACAATGGTTCGATGTCGTCAAAAGTCAACATGATTGCACTTCCTTCATTCCTAAAGCTACTAGACAAGTAGATAGAGTACAGCAGGTCTTACAGGAGCTTCTTGAAGTTTCCACAAAGTTCTGAACCACTAATATGGCAGCTGTCAGGTTGAATTGAGCCATCGGTTCCAGTGCTAACAGGGAGGTTAGGTGAAATTAACTCTTCTCTACAGCATGACTACAACCCGCCAGGATCCTCACCTACCTGATGGCAAGTGGACGACAGCATATAATCTCCATAGGCTTTACTTCCTACTCCTGACCAGCTTTAACTAATTGAGGAGACAACGTGAAAAAGACCCTTCACCGCTGCGATCTTGGCTGCACCTCAACTTTTCTAACTCTCTCCGTCATGCTGCGCCGCAGTCGTCTGACTTCCGGCGAGATAGTGCAAGTTCTCCATGTCAGCTCAGAGTTGAGCTCTTGCAAATGAAGTCAGCGCTACAGTATTTGACACAGATGTGAGGGGGGAGTAAAATATCTTGGGTGTAGTCAAGGGGAATGGGTATGACTTCTAAGTATCTGAAATGTCCTGTCTTAAACACATAATATCCGTAATACTTCCTGACACTTTCTCCTATAACCTCTTATTCTCTGCCAGCTTCTGTGGGGCCCTTTTTTTCCCTCTCTGGGCGCAGAAGAAAAGCAGTCTATTTTCTTGTCATATTTGGTTGAAAGGCGACTCTCAACTTGGAGTCTAATTTCCTGCACTTTAAAGACGGTCCACATGCAAGGTGCATTACCATGCTATCAAGGTGATGGGAGCAATTTCAAACTGTCAGTCAGTCATGGAAATATCAGAGGGACTTAATGTCTACTGCAACCTGTCAAAGGCTCCTGTGAAGTGGCGGAGAGCGTAATCTGAGTCTTATTCACTCAACAACATTTACTTGTCAGCAGAGCTCACTGTTTTACTCTGAATGGTAGTTCATAATGATGGTATAGCCATATAGATAGCTAATTAAATGAGATTGGTCAAACTGTGGCAGGCTTTAAAATATATATATATATATATATGGGGGGGGGGGAGAAAATGTACAATATACCTACAGAGAGCAGTTATATTATAAATATCACAGCTTCAGACTGCATCTCATATGATCACACAGTTCTTGCTTCACAGACAGCAGTTAGTTAAGGCTGTTAATTTCCCGATAGACGCACCACTCTGGGTGACACACTGGGGCTGTACTTAACCATTATTAATGTGACAGGCCTCAGTGCAAGGCAAATCAATTAAACAGGAGCAATCACCATAGTCTGGATAACGGCCTTTTAAGACTGTTTTCATGTGACAAGGAGGTCCTCGATCCAGGCCTCTGCGCCAGGACCTGACAGGTCAAGAAAGCGGCATGAAACAATAGCACCTTCTAACCATCATCTCCCCTTTTTACCTGTCAGATCCAGTCGGCCTGTCTGGCTGCTGACGTGGCGCGCCCTGCGCCGGCTGCCACAAGGTGAATTTTCATGTCATGTCGAGGGAATTTCTTATTCCATTTGCTCAACATTATAATGCAGCATTTATCGACCATTTTTTTCCCAAGCTATATGTCAAGGGCTTTTGCACCAGAGTTTTCCCCCAATAGTTTCAGTTACAGGTCCTTCGTGATGTTTTTGATGTACATGTGCGTGTCTAAAGAGATCACAATAATAAGACTGGAGCAGTGACTTACCTTCATGCTGCCCACTGCTGCCTGACGCCTCCAAAGTGTCTGGAAAAGAAAAGCAGATATCACAGAAATATTACTTGTACACTTCATTGTGAGGTCAGTTATCATTTCATTCAAGGGTGTAGGTTTCGTTTCAACACTGGGGGGGTACACATATGAAACAGGGGGTTAGGGTCCTCCCCCTGGAAACACTGAGCATCAAACCCTTAATTTTCTGCATTCTGGTTCATTTTTATGCCTTCTCTGTATCAATTTAAGGTGGAATTTTTTTTAATTTCATCAAACTCGTCTGCTACTTTCACGTTTTTAATGGGGCAGACAGATGCACATGTTCTAAATATTGCCCCTCCCTGAAATCTACACCTTTTATTTTATTGAACAAATACTAAGAAGGGCTCAAAATTTGATTCAAAACAGACTGAGCCACAGTATCATATGCACACATTTGTTTAATCAACCCTTTAGTAACATGCAGAGCTGAATTATACAATACACATTATAGAATTATACATTATACAACACAGTCATAATAGCAGCTCCTGTCACTGTGACTCTAATTGCCATTATTTTCAATTTTTAATCAACTCCGATGATAAATTGTGAAGTTGTCTCTCTCTCTTGCTGAACAGGCTAATTACTGCTGTACATAAAATCAAGACTGGAAGTTAAACTAGGTGCTGGAGGCAGGAGGTGGATAATCTCACCCACCAATTTAGCTCATTTAGATTTTATATGAACCTGAAGAAATCCAAAGAAAACACTTTAAGGAGCAAAACTTTGTCCTTTCAAGAACTAAATAAGATTCTGAGAGCGATTTGGAGTTTTTGCCAGCCTCTGAGGTGTTCACTATTTGTCCAGTGTTTTTGTTTATCAGTTTGTATTTTTCTTTGGCCAAGGACGAGGGTAAAGATAAGGACAGTCAGTGGACCCATAACAAAAGTATAAAAATAAAATAAAAAAGAAAGTTTAGAGGTTTTTAAAGGATCATTGCTGAAAATGTGTCTAATAAACACAATTTTCACATTTTTATAAATGGAAAATATCATTTCTAGGGCAGAAAATAAGTAGTTATATGTAATAAAGTCACAAAATAAATGAAATTGTGATCAGTTAAAGTTGCTGGAAAGAATGTAGTTAAACTACAGTTACTAAATGTTGGTGATTATAACTGGGTTACATATGAATTCATTTTTTCAGTAAAAAGTATATGTAGAATATAACATTTTGTTGCTTTACATCTTTTCGCTGTGCAGGTATGACTTCTTTTGACATAAAAGTAATCAAAAAGTAATCAGATGGGAAAAAGTTGCATTACTTTAATAAAGTAACTAAAATAGTTAGATTACTTATTATTTTTATTACAGGGTAACTAGTGATCTGTTACTTATTACATTTCAAAATGAACCCTCCCAGCACTGAATACTGGTGACAAACTGACTGACAAACTGATAATGATTAATAAAGAAACTTTGCATGTTGTAAAAATGATTCCTAAACTCAGTCTGCTCCCCTTTTTTATTTGCAAATGTTTATTTTCTGGCATTTTTTCTTAATTCATGACAAAATGGGAGCTCTGGGGGGCTCTCAAAGGAAAAACACACGTATTAATCCTTTAATTATAATATTAATTCTTAATCTTTAAACGTATAGCCCAGGATAGAGGCTTGTGTTGTGTCTAATCACCTACCTGCCCACCCCTGCTTGTAAATGGCTGTGTTTGCACGGACTCTGGGTGATTCATAAACGTGTCCTTGTGTGAAATACTAGCAGGAGATTTCGAGCTTTCTGTTTAAAAGTAATGAATTACGGCGACGAAAAAAAATGTGCAGCCATTTAAGGATAAAGCCGAGAATTTGGTGTCTGCCGCGGCGAGCCATCCATCACGTCCACAATAAAGGAGTTTTTGCCTGACGGTCGAAATTTATGGTCGCCCTTCTCTGCCCTAATAACTCAAAGCGCTGTGTCAGAGCCTGACAGCCGTTGCCGAAAACAGCACCCCTGTTATCAATCAAAAAACACTTGCATATGTTTAACTTTCGCCTGATCAGCAAGACATTTATAGGCTATTGAGTAATAAGATAAGTGGGTCTATTTCGATGGGAAGAAATGTGGAAGCTTTAAATGATTAATGGCGGCCACAAAAGGAGTTTTTTTAAGCGCTCTTGGAATATAAAGAAAGAATTTTTGGCTTGAATGTGGCGGAGATGTGGAGGAATATTTTTAATTTCCAACACAGAAAGAGACTTGAAAAATTACATGCTATTAAATAGATGTCTGCAACAGAACTGGGGCTCTGTAAAAATGCCTCAGAGCTTATCTCCAATTAAACAAATCGCAGTTTTGAGTTTTACCAGGGCAGACAGACTAACAGGCCTAAATTATGATGGAGGAGTGAGGGAGAGACACATCACTTCTTCACTCCGCTTCTCATGGATTCACTTTACAGTAGTTGACCTGAATATGACTGAGAGGAGGCACACACACACAAAAAACTGCAGACAGCTGACAGATAACTGGCGTGCAGGACAGGGAACTGACAGATGACAGGCTGCGTGATTGAGAGGAGAAAGTTGCAAAAAATGTGAAACATGCCGATGTATATCTGTGCATGCTGGAGGGAATATCTGACCAGAGAGGCCTTCTCTTGGTTATTTTTCTCTTTAGGAGTCAAAAGTTATTCATTAATGAGTCACTGTGGTGCAAAGGCTGCCTGCTCTGTGCAAGAATTTTGCAATAAAAGACAATCAGACGGCTTGAACTCGTGTTTCCTAAATGTATTTCACGTATGCAAAGAAAATTAGCTCCAAAAGACTCCCTTAAGGGTGGAAAAGGATGTGTAAACGTGCAATATTTGGCTAGAGGTCTCGTTCGCCTACTTCTTACAATAAAAGCATTTTCGGACTCTGCTGTCTGGAATAAATTGTGTTAATTAATACGTATCACTTGATATAAAGAGGTTTGGGTCATCATTATCCCCTTGGTCCACCTTCCCCAAAACCACACAGGGTGCAGGGGCGGCGCATGCACCCAAGTTACGCAAAGACGCATATAAAAACTCAAAATTAAAAAGCGCTCGGAGTGGGTGAAATGTGATATACACACCCGCGTGAGAGGGAAACGTCACATTCACTCGAGCCTCCGATCACCTCGGGATGTCTTTTTGATTGGGAGGCGGCACAGGCTGTGATCTGCGGACTAATTCACAAGCTGCTTGAGGAGGAGGAGGCGGAGTGATCTCTCCTGCCCACTACCCACGTAAACCGAGTCAGCTCTCGGACCCGCAGCCACACTGTCAGAGCGACGCCGGGGATGAAGCAACGCGGCTGTGATACGCACGGATTCATGCTCTCGCACTGCGCGTCTCTTTTAAGGATTTAACATTTTTATCTCCGCCAAAGGCTTTAACCGTCTTGACGTTTGGCTTTATTTACCCTACACATGTATTTCTCAACCATTTCCACGAGAATTGGGTCATGATCACATCGCCCACGGTCTCTGTCCTGAGAAATAGCACGAATCCAGCGTGGGAGAGCGGCTCCTCGGGGGAGAAGGGCGCAGTGAAGATCAGCCGGCCAGCCGTCCACAACTCCGTCTCTCCTGCAGACCCTTCTCGCCAAGCCAGTCGTCTTCCCATAAAGGTTTTGAAAATGCTCACCGCTCGGGCAGGACACATTTTACACCCGGAGTATCTTCAGCCTTTGCCGTCTACTCCTATCAGTCCCATCGAGGTAAGCGCTACCGAGGTTTATGGGAAAATGTTTGCGCACACGGGAATCAATTCGCTACATATGAAACTATTTCAATGTGAAATCACGCCCAAAGCTCCCAAACCGATTTTTTCGGGACAAATTTGGTGAATAACTGTCGACAAACATGACTGTATTTAAGGAAAAGCCTCTCCTAATACTGCACAAATGTGATTTTTAGACCTGCTATCCGAGTTAATTTCTTCCATTTTCGGTTTTCAGCGGAGGTGTCGAATTTGGACTCGTTATGAAAATTAATGACCTTGTTGTTGCAAATTGATGCCCGTGTTTGTAATGTCATTTTCTCCGTTGTTCGGGCTTATCTTCTATCTCATGTGAATCAGCTCTGTGTGTACGCTCCCTCTTTCAATGCCTCTTAGTTGTTTTGAGTTTCATCCCGAGACAAGTTCATGCGCAATGCGTAAACTACGCGGAACGCTCATGTGTGCGTATTTACCACACAATATAATATGTACAAGTGTGTTTTTGTATTTTATTAACTGTGTTTTGTCTTATTTTTACAGCTGGATGCCAAGAAAAGTCCACTCGCTCTTTTGGCCCAGACGTGCTCTCAGATAGGCAAACCGGATCCGCCGTCCTCCTCCAAACTGTCCTCTGTGACCTCAAATGGATCTAGTGACAAAGAGACCAAATCCGGTCCGCTGAAAATGAGCGACATCGGAGCCGACGACAAATCCAGCTTCAAACCTTACTCCAAATCGTCGGAGAAGAAGGACTCGAGCAGCAGCCTCAGTGGAGATAAAACCAGTTTCCGAGTGCCTAGCGCCACCTGCCAGCCGTTCACCCCCAGGACAGGCAGCCCCAGCTCCTGCACATCAGTCTCTCCACTGCCGGCTGAAGGCAAGGCGGGGGACAAGGAGGAAAAGAAGGAGTCTGATAGCAATAAAAGCAGTACGACTGAAAGTAACGGCAGCCATAGGATAAGTGGAATTACCTCTGATGGCAGCCAACACCAGGAGAACACATCTGGATCCAAGACTCTTACATCAGACTCGCCATCTGTAACCTCATCGTCTTCCTCCGTCCTCGGCTCTGGACTGGTGGCCCCCGTATCCCCCTATAAGCCCGGTCATACAGTTTTCCCCATGCCTCCTGCTGGTATTTCCTATCCTGGAAGTTTAGCGGGTGCCTATGCAGGTTACCCGCAGCCGTTCCTCCCTCATGGAATGACCCTTGACCCCACCAAATCCAGCAGCCAGCTGTTAAGTGCACAGTTTGCTGCTGCCAGCTCGCTGGGATGCAGTAAAGCAGGAACGAGTCCCTTAGCAGGAGCAT